TATATATATATATATATATATATATATATATATATATATATATATATATATATATATATATATATATATATATATATATATATATATATATTACAGCCAATTGCTTTTGTCTTCTGAAATTATAAGAGTTAAACCAAATATTTTGTAATCAGCCAATTAAAAAACTTACTTTTAATATTTGACCACCATCAGGATATCTCAGCAAAATGTTCTTCAGAAGATCTGTTAATGGCGGCCGTTCTTGACCAAATGATCTTCCTACAAAGACATCAATTCATAGTGCTTCAGATAGTATGTGGATCATCACACAAGGAGAAGCTAATAAATATAATTAAAGGCCCTGTCGGCCATGGTAAATACCAACATGCAACTCAATCTCATACACAGGGTTTTATTGCAGCCCCCCGTTTCTACAGAGCAAATCCTGGGCACATTAGGTTGCAGACAACATTGCCGTGAAAGGTGACATAAAAAATGAAATAGCGACATTGGATTACAAACTCTTTCTAGATTGTGACAACAACATCGAAAAGGAGGCAAACAATAATGAAATTCCAAAAGTGACATAGCAATGTTTTCATTAATTAAGCAGCCACATTAAAAACCAGATGAGCAACATGCATACAAACCCTCTAATTAAATGCAAGGGGGAGGGAGCTCTTCCCCTCCCCCAATGATCTCCATTTCATTCAGACCTATTCTGGCAAAACATTGAAATTCAGTCAAAAACATGTGTGTGTGTGGGGGGGGGGATGCAATGGCTGGAATAATGATAACAAATATGTTATATATTAAATTAATTAAGTAATATAAAATAAAATATTGTAATGTTACACTCTAATTAGCTACATGTACACATCAGACTTCAGAGTCCCCTTGACAAATAAAATTGTCTGGCATTAGACTAGAGTAAAATACCAAGTCACTGGGCACAATGCAATTAACTAGACACAATGGGCAGATATAGTCTGATTGAGAAACAAACATCTGGCTTTAGACAAAGTAAAATATTAAAGTGGGGCCACATTGCAACTTTAATAACAGCTAGGTTAACAACCTCGAATTATAAAATACAATGTCAATTGTAATCCTAAACAATCTTACAATCCTATATGGCACCATTATCCTTGAGACACCATTTTGGAATGATTTGAAAGTCAACCAATATGTCTGTCGTGCAACTGTGCAAGACTACTACATATATTCTTTATACTTTCAAAGTCAAAGCCACTATATTTTTCTTTAATAACGATTCGAAGCTCTCTTGGGCCAGCTGTTTAAACACTTTTGCCTACCGGCCAGAAAACGTATACAAAAATTCCACTTTATACATAACACGCGTCGCGGATAAGCTAATTCCTTGAGTATGGAGTTATACGGCCATATAATATTGCCAGCTGTTCCATTTGTCCTCATTCAAGGAATATAGAAATTAATATGGTATTTTAATTTGGTTGGGGGAAAGATCAAATTTCGTTATACCGCACGAAAAAAACTAAAAATACTATAAGTCGATTCGTTTCGTACGTTACTTTGTTTACATTTTATTATCTAAGTCGCATTTTATAATGTATAGTTCTATTTATCGTAATCTTCAATGATTTTACAGCACGGCTCAGTGTCGTCAGTGACAGAATATTATAAAAAAATAGAAGGCCGAACGAAATTTTTACGCTGAAAATTCGTTTTAATATATTAGAGGAAAACTTCCAGATTCTATTTCCGCGAAACAATGATCTATTCTTAATAGAACAAAATTAAAGCTGTTTAGAGTTTGAATTGAAACATTATAGAACAATTTTTTTCTTGGAATTGACATCGCTGACAAATATGAAGCACGTATTCATGTAAACAGCTCACTCGCACGTAGCTAACTCGCACGCAGCTTTTTATGCAACAAATTATATATCACAGATTATATCGACCGTCCAAAGCGTAGGAGATTTCAATATTGCATGTAAATATCACTTGATTTCTGAGCTGAATTAGTAATTTCTGACGATTTCTTGAGGTTGTTAGTTTGTAGTTACAGCCTTTGTTACAGCGCAATGTTTGCACAAATGTTTGCAATGCCAATGTTTCTCTCCCTCTTGAGAGCAATTTGAAATCGGAATATAATATCAGTTCGTGAAAATCTTTGTTTTCTTAACAATGTAATTGCTTACCTTTCACAGGCATTTTCTTTTTATACCATTTTCTGAGGCATTTTTAAATATGAATGTCTGCAATACAAGAAATATGATTATACAGCCATTTGCAACCAGCTGCAGCTTCCGTTTTGATGATTTTGAAGGCATTGTTAGATGGGCATGCATTGTTTACATTGCATGCAGTGTTGTAGGAGTGTTGAAGGGCGTACAAAACAACGCCAGTGAACGGTAACTCCGAAAAGAAAGTAGTTGAATCATCATCAGGAATGATGCCAGGTTACATTTTAATAATACAATGATATTTGTATTTTAAAAAGTAATTGTCACATTAATTGAAATACACCAGACACAGAATATACACCTACACTATGTCTCAAATTTTCCCCGAAGGGGCGCACTTGAAATATAATGTACTACTCAATAGGACGTAACCTGACGTTGCTCAGTCACTTGTTCGACAATTCTCTTCTTTGTTTATAGTTTATACTGTTACATGTAGTTCATCTGATAGCGCTTTCCCAACGTTGTTGACACTGTGCTAACGCATTACAGGTAACGCATGCTGTTTATAAGGATACTCTGCTAAGCAGGGTAGCTGCATGTGAGAGCAACGTCGCCTTCCGCCCTCAGCAATTCAAACACTGTATTATCTTTTAATTAATATAAATAAACAATGGGACGTTGGACACCTCTTGGGACTTGGCGAAAGGTTAGTTCGCTGACCTCAGAATGACATAACGTCGCCTTCCGCCCTCAGCAATTCAAACTCTTATTCTATGACTGTATTATCTTTTTAATTACAGTGAAAATACAAAAAGTGCCCCACTTCCGCAGTTTGTTGTGATTTACTGTAATTTGTTCTGTTTTTCTGTAGCGATTACCGATTTATCGGCAAATACCGCGATAAAACTTAGTTTTTTCTATTTTTAAATATGATAATTTGTAGCAAAGGAAACTAATACATTTTCCGTTAGTTTCATTGCATAAAAGGAACGAAATTTAAATTTTATCGCAGTATTTGCCGATCAAATCGGTAATCGCTACAGAAAAACAGAACAAATTACAGTAAATCACAACAAACTACAGAAGCGGGACCACTTTTTGTATTTTCACTGTAATATAAATAAACAATGGGACGTTGGACACCTCTAGCCTCCTCCGCAGGCCTCTCTATGGGTTCTAGCCTGCGAATGGGTTTTAATCTCACCAAACTTTTTCCCACCACCCGATTCGTCGGGTGAGATGCCTGCGGAGGAGGCTAGGACACCTCTTGGGACTTGGCGAAAGGTTAGTTCACGCTGACCTCAGAATGACATTTCGTCAAAACGTTTTTCTTCAAGGTTGGTTTAGAAACAAACTTGGGGTTAGGAACTTTGGATTAGAGTTTATAGAGTTTGTGTTTGGAAGGTTTTGTCACTCTGAAGCCAGGGAAATAACCTCTTCCCACGTCTTGGTGTTTTTTTTCCTTTTGGGAGTGTTACCACTTACCAAAGGCATAGCTGGAGTATTACATCACATTTTAATTTTACCCAGAGGTGGATTAAAGGTAGGGTACAATTTACAATCTCGTTCCCCGAGCCTGCGATTCTTGGGAAGGAATGTGAGGAATCCTGGCAAAGATTGAACTGCGCATTCCATTTCAACGGCCAATCCGATTCCTCCCTGAAACGGATTATCCCAGAGCCTCACGTTCCTTCCCGAGGATCGCAGGCTAGCTCGGGGAACGAGATTGGGTAGGGTACAGTCCGTATGTAAACAAAGCCTTTGTTCACATTACGGTATTCAAAATATTGAACTTTATTCGACAATTATTTATATTTTCATGCTTCTACAGTATAATAAATGATCAAGATACAACAATCAGGCTTTGCAAGAACATAAAATGAAATAAAAACCTAATTAAAGTGTTTATATCACGGCAGGAGACTCCTATGTGCGCATGCGCAGACCGGACAGTACCCATCTTTACTGTTAGGTTGATATCAACACGTCACAAGTATCAGGGTTAGAATTATGACTAGAATGTGATTAATGTTAACCGTAGGATTAGGCTAAGAGTTAGAACCCCAAGGAGTTAGACGTAGGAGTTAGACGTAGGGTTAGGATAAGGGGGTAGGTTCGGTTAATTTTTAATTCAGCATCGCATTATTAATTATTCGGTCAATCCGTCTGACCGTGTAGCTTAGTTGGTAGAGCGTCGATCTAGTAATTCAAAGGTCGCGGGTTCAAAACCCAGCTGTGGCAGGCAATATCTTTCTGCTTGCACGCGGTCTGGAACTTCTGATATATTTAGAGTTCTCACAAGCGTGTTATTTAATTAATGACCATACTGCATATTTTTCGAACAAAATGACATGGTTTACATTCGATCTTTAATTCATTCGGTAACAGACCTGCCAAGTGTCGCGCATTCGTCGTTAAAGTCAACATTTAAATTTTGGTCCCGTGACCGCATGCTTGTCGAAAATGCCTTAAACACGGCATCTCCATGCACATTCTGTAGTCAGAAGATCGTTTGGACAGCCTCTCTTAGCCTAATTTATTAATGGATGAGTATGTTGGAAATTCGGACATCGTCAGGAAATCTTTACTTGGGGCTTGCTTTGGCAGGTTTGGTCAGTTTTGGGCTAACATTTGACAAGTATGCCAAAATTGACCCTTGTTTTTCTAACTGTTTTATCATTCGCCAAACCTTTCAAAACCAGGTCAAATAGCTATTACAGCAATGCCGTGTTTCGATCAAATATGGCATTAATGCTCAAAGTTGTTGTACGTGCGGATGTGGGTGTCACGCTTTCTTCTCTTCCTATTTCCTAACTTGGCAGGTCTGCCTGCCGATAATGTACACTCAACCATGCACTCCATGTATATTTATAAGAACGTTACAATAAAAATGATTATAAATCATTAAAATAATTATACTAACCTAACATCTAAATTGTTTCACCATTGAATCAGTATAATAATCAATTTATAGTTTGGTAAAACGTTAGTTTGATCAGACATGAAAAATGTCCTGTTTATCCCACATTTTTCTTTCTTTTAAGAATTGCCTTTCATTTAAAAACGCTCCTCAAAAGTACGTATGCACGACATTTATTGTAACAATAAAGTATGGTAAGTTGGTTATCTATATGATACATGCATCAGGGCCTCTTTTAACACGATATATACTGGGCTAGTTCCCATACCCCGATTGATGGAGACTATGTTGGTCCCCCCAGTGAAGGTCCCTTCCCTCTAAAATATAAGAGAAGAGGAATAATATTTAGTTAAGATGAGTATTTTAACATTGCCATGACCAAACTCTTGCCTAATGGTAAAGTCTAGTATCAAAAGGTTGCATTGTGTTTTAGCATGCAGAAAATAATGCCCTGGACCTATACTCAAAATTACAAAAATTTTCTGGAGGTGGACCCCTAGAGATCGTACTAATCCATTTCATCACCTCCTAGATATAGGTTCCTTTTCCTTAAAAGAGGCCCTGACATATATATTTATTGCAGCGATTCCTTAAGACTTGGCCATAAAATATGTGAATGTGAAATATTGAATGTCCCTCATTCAATGACCCGTTTTGTTCTAGAGAAGGATCGATACATCATCCCTCTAACGGTAGGACGAACTGTCCAGACGAACTAGTTAAAAAAGTGCGATCTATACTCGCTTATAGTCAAACGTCAATATAATTTTGGAGCGAAAATCCGCTAACAAAATGTTGTATTTTTCTGGTAGCTCGATCGTCTAATGTTGTATCTATATGCAAAGATGGACCATTCGAGAAAACCAACTACCGGCATTCACAATCTTCGAAGTAGAGGAACTACAAAGAGAGAGTTATTCTTGACGGCAAATCTGTCAGTATGCCGCGTTTATACACAGAAGATTTATCAGACGAACTGTATTCTTTTTGCCAAGTTCGTTTAGACAGATCATCAATCTCTAGAACAAATCTGGCCTATACGGTTGCTAAAGAAAATTTTCTCAGAATCCCAGAACTCACTAATTTTTCTTCCAGGTCTGAGTTTGATAAAGTTAAACACAAAGTATTGTTTTCTAATCCATGACTTGCCTGAGAAGCTGCAAAATTTCTCTGGCATTTGAAAGAGCTTCTTCGGCATCTCTCTGTGTGAACATCTCGGCCGGAATGGGATCATGGAACGAATTCCCTCTTCTATATTGAGGATAACGGGTTTTGATATAATATCTCCGTTCATGGATGACCCTAACCATACCCGGAATAACGTGAAGACGTGGATGCATTTCTGACGCTCGATAAGCTAATGTGAGCTCGTCGTGGACTTCCAAGTCACTTCTATTAAGACGGCCTTTTGCAAACATGAAAGCTTTAAGAGCTTTTTCAACAGCTTGTTGACAATGGAAACAAGTAAACGAAAAGTACGTCTCCTCTTCACTTTGGAATAGGTAGTTAGCCGTGCTGAAATCTTTCTGAGCTTGCCGCATCCATCGTTCAGCTTCGTCCCTACTGGCTGGCTCAGTTTCATTGTCGTAATGTCGCCGCTCTTGGCGTTGTTGTCGTTGTCGCCTTGCTCGTTCCGCGTGTCGGCGGAAAAAGTCCCAATAGTGAGATTGTCCTGTCGAAGACTGATTTGAATTGTCGGTTTCAGGATGGTAACCTGGTACTCCACCCCTTTCCAAACGCTCCACCTCATTGAATAAGTATTGCGTTACTTCGGTAGCTAAAGACTCGCGATGTGGATTTCTGTCAGGATGCCATTGTCGGATTAGACGTCTGATAGCACTGCGTCTTTCCGATTCTGGAAGTTGCCAAATCTCTCTCAGCGCTTCTGCAACTTCTCTTCTCGCTTCTTCAAGCGTTACTGGCTCAGGAGGGATGGCTTCTTGGCTAGAGTTGTCAGCTTCAGGACCTTCAGTATAAGGTACCAAATCCATTATTTCTTGTCTCCCCCAAGTAGCTCCTATTCCGGTTCTCTCTTCACGATCAAACTTGTAAAGCTTCAGTTTTCGAACTTCAACCGGCTCTTCTTTACCAATATCAATCTTGTATCTGCTGTTGATTGCAAATCTACCATCACCTAAAAATTAACATTATATGATGCTTTTGTAACAAAAGTAAGAAGTTAAATACAGGGGACGCTGAAGAAAACTTAATCGGCTTAACCCATAACCTTTATGCCCGCTACCATACAATTGACATTTTCGGATAACTCGTGCGCCAGGTTATAACTAAGCATTTACTGTACATATTGTTTAACAAGTGAGTGAATTAAGACAATTTTAACTCGTAAGCATGATGACACTCGCGAGTGTCATCATGCTTACGAGTGTCATCATGTTTACGTAGATTAGATGTGCCCCTCTGTCCCAGAAACATACTACGTTCAGTATTGGACTACTGTCAAATATATTGAGATAATAATCCCAGGCACCAACAAAATATCTTAGGTGTTAATAATTTTAAGCCGATTTAATTGAAGTTATAAAAATTATATTAAAAAATTATTTAAAAAAATTATTAATTATTTTCTATAATTATTTCTTAAACACTGATAACAATTCCAAATTATCACAAATTCAGCATCTAGGCCAGCTCACTAAAATTATAACGACGCGAGACCTAAGGTTTAGCGGATTGAGCCCTTAATTGACTGTACTTTAATGAAACTGTTGAAGTTGTTAGTCAATCAAAAACAAGCTAGAAAATAAAGTGAGTGAAACAAAGAATATAATTCAGTTAAAGATCACATACCTTGGCTTGTTTGCTCAATGATCTTGGCGTACACATACACCGCTTCATGATCTTCATCCTCCTCCCTTACTTCATATCCAACCCATTCACCTTCTCGGAGATGGTAATTTATAACGTTTTTCAAAAGATAGTGGAAACTTTCTGGAATTTCGTCGCCCGGATTTGGTTCTCTCGAAATGCTGCTGATATTTCCTGTTACCCGACCTTCATCCAACGTCTTCGATATTTCTCTGGGGTCATTAACACCAAGGATTATCATCAGATAGCGCCAATAGGCCTCGCCGATATGTTGCCCAGTGATCCAGGAAATAAACGAACTTAACCTTTCGTGTAATACACCAGGATTCCCCTCCCCGCCGTGTTTAATTAGGATGCAAAATCCATCTGGAATTTTGTGATAGAAAGTAGGAACTTCTTTCTTACTTCCTGAAACTGGCTCCATAGTTGCTATTTTGACAAGCCGTACTTCAATAATCTGCATGCATGAAACGTTGACCCCGTTCTCAAGACTTCTAAGATCATTTTCAACCTGTTCTGGAATATTGGGTGTATCCTGTTGAACTTTGTACAGCCGAATTAACGCCTCGCTAAACTCCCGAGAACACATGATATCGCGATATCGTTTGATGAAGTCACAAGACCGTGTATTCGGATCTCGATCAAGAATACATTTCTTGTCGATGCAACTTGGATTCAACTCTTCATTTAGTATAGAACTCAACTTTTTCACTTTCAAAGGACTCGGCAACAGTTCGACAAGTCTCGCAGGACGTTCTTGATTCCTCATGGTCAAATCAATGAGCAACTCCTTCCAATAATCTTTCAAACGTTCTTTCTTCTCCATTGTGTCATTGACAAAAACCTCACACGATGGCTTCAGATAATTATCTTCGGTCGGGAGGTAAAGAGTTCGAACATTTACCAGGGATTGTTCTGCATTCGGGGGGGAGCCGCCACGTGTTTGAGAACGCTTCTTATCTTTGCTCAACCGTACGAACAAACCTTTTGTTGCTTCGACAGCTGCACGAACCTCTCCAGGGTGCATTTTATTATCCCCACCACTTCTCTTGACTGCTTCTAGTACTGATGAATATTGAAGCGGTGTTGGGCGCTCCTGAGCTCCAAGACATTTTAGGAAGTGTTCGTAATGTTGAAATTTGCGAGGAACCTCGAACATGTAAGGGTTCATGCAGTCCCATACTCCTTTGAATGCAAGCTGGTTACCGCGTACGAGCGTATGACGGTCGACCAATATCACAGGAACATTGCAAAGGGCATTCCTTGTCAACTGACATTTAGGTGAACAAGTTGAATCAGGTGAACCAGACGTTTTTGGGCAAGAATACATAAAATAGCTGTATATCTTTTCCATAACATCAAGAAGGACTGGTTGCAATGCAGACGGAATTTCTTCGTTTCTCGTCGCAGGAAAACGACCAGAAAGATTACTGACATGCGCGATCACAAGTTCGTGTGGAGGTTCGGTATGTATTCCAAGCATGTTGATCAAACCATTTCTACGGTATGGAACAGCTGAGGTTGCTATTAAGGATGCACTTGACCATACAAGGGCTCTATGCAATTCAACCACGGAGCCCCTAAAACAGGTGAGAATTTTTTCTGTATGTGAAGGATGGATAGCAAGATACAACTCAATTATCTTGGCTGCAGGAACAAACTTAATTTTAGAAATTTTGGAAAGAAATGCGGATGTGTGCAAACGCTTGTTTTGAAACAAATGGGAAACCAGAATATTTGATTTTTCCAGGATTTCTTTCGCTTCCTCTGAAGTTGAATTGCAAGCTTCTTCCTGTAGTTGTGTGGCAAATGATAAAAAATGTTCCTCGGTGACGGCGCATTGGAGACCAATTTTCTTTAAAAATTCTTTCCACTCGATGGAATCAAACGGCGTGGGAGGAAATTTATCATTTGGTATAAATTTCCCAAATACTTTATTACTTGGGTCATAGAACTCTTCTGCTGGACGGAGTACGCCTAAACGATCGGGAATAAATGACAACTGCTTCATGACTGACAGTAGAGCCTTATAACCACTATAATGCTCATGCAGAAGGTAATCCCTCACAAACTTCAAATGGTTTACTCTTCCGTTAGGTGTTAAATGATCGAAGTACTTTAGAACTATACCCATGTAGAAGTCCATAGATGATGCTTGTTCGATTCCAATGTAACGGTAAAGATCTGCGAGTTTGGGAGCTTGGCGTAAGAAGATACTGCGTGTTACGGATGAAAGAACTTGAAGGTCATCCCCGGGGACGTCATCTGGCACTTCAAACACTGCATGGTTACCAGAAAGTCGTGTGTAAGTGCAACTGATGGTTTGGTAAAATGGAAGATTTCGCAGAAGAGAACACGAGAGCCTGGAAACATCACTTTGTAGAAACATAAGGAGTCGTTCAATTTCGTGTTTCGTAAGTGTAGTTTCCTCTCTCATGTCGCCGTTCAAAGTCTGGTGCAACAGTCCCAGGACGTCCTCTGTTGATTGAACCATTGCAAGGTAGTGCTTGCGTATTGCAGTAGCTCCAGTAGGATTTGAGGATCTGGAAAAGGAAGAAATCAAAATGGTGTGGTTTAACTGAGGGCAGCCAAGTTTCACCAACACACCACGCCTGACTGTATCTTGAAATGAATCGCTGTTGAGGTAAGTGCTTACATTGAGAACGGTTTTGCCCATGGAAACGGGAACGAGACAGTTATGTGTGGTCGGAATTATATGCCAAGTTATGATTTCATTGAGGGTACTACTTGCTTCGCTTTCATCTTCACCGCTAGTTTTACTACCATTTTCACTTTTGGAAATAGCATCAATGAACTGCCAGAGTAATACAAGCCATTTTTTTGATGGAAATGTGCCGCCTTGCTCATTTGGATTCCACGGTTGGTGGGAAGCGGTATTAATCCAGGTCGGTGGGAAAAGGACAGTTTGAAATTTGGCAAGATCAGATATAAGGAATTCTCGTACAACGTTGGAACACTTTTCTATGTCACTTGCATAACGACGTCGGAGCAAATCGTGCAGGAAGAGATCAGATCTGAAAGGCAACAGCTCACTGAACTTGCTACAGAAAACCACGAAATCCGGACGGAAGCAACGAAGCGTGCTATCTTGTGTGACAAGCAAAGGAAGACCTTCAAGATTTTCAAAAAAGTCTTTAGCTTTAGCGCAATACATGGTGAGTTCATTAACATTCTCAACATCGTGAAAAACAGTGTCCCTCACTTCCCTGGGTAAATTATATTTCATTTCCATGTGATTGCGGAGGAATTCCCGTACTTGTTCTGGACTCACATCTTGGCAAAATTCAACTGTTTTGAAACTCTCGTGAATTCCCCTCGGAGTGTGTGATAGAAGGCAGAATCCTATGTCCAGCAACGTTTTCTCCAGCAACCAAGACATTCCAGATGTACAAAAGTAGGCATTGCTGGCATTACACCACACGACAGAAACAGGGGTCTGATCAGGCTCTGTTCTTACTTTTCTTGCTTCAGAAAGGTTCTTCCATTCCGGAACTGACATGGCGACTGGCAAAACAGGAAGAATCGACAAGAAATTCCTGTAAAGCGCTTCTCCAACGGGCTTCCATTCTGTGTCAAGATCTGTAATGGAAGGGAACAACTGATGATACCATCTGAGACCATCTTCAGTTTCCTTGTTAGAGGGAAACATGCCTGAAGTGCGAGATTCAGCTTGATATCCAAGAATGTGCTTTCTGGCGTGACAAATTGCATTGGCATAGGCTGGGGCGATTACGTAGCGTTTCATAAAATCGTTCCAACGAACTCTGTCGTCTGAATTTCTAGGATCATGCCACACCCTACGACGTGCCGAGTCCAGTGCAAAGTGGCCATTGATATGTGCAGGAAATTTCGTATAAACTGGAAGTGGAAGCGCACAAAATAGGAAATGTCGGAATGGAGAACTTTGAGATTCAGTTGAAGGCAAGCGAACGGCAATTCCAGCGCGTGGTAGCAATCCCATTCTAGTACCATTTGGGACTTCCGAGGCATCCTGTCCGTTAACACATCCCAAGCTCTGTGTGATCAGCCAATCTTTTTTTACGTTATTCGTGTCTGATATGTTCATAACGTAATATATTTGTTGCCATGGTATTTGTTGAGTTGGTACTTCACTGCATGCTCTGATACTCTCAAAGAAGTCAGTTCGTTTACGAATATCAGGAACGTCGCACATCACAGAATACGTTTCAAGTTCTCCATTCTTTATTTCGGAAACAGAGATTTTGGTAACATTGTTCAGAAACAGCAGCATGTCTTTGGCGGATGCTCGAAATAAATCAAACAGCTCTTTCACTTGTTTATTATTCCATTGATTAGTGGAAATCTTGGACTGGAGCTTTGCATCACGACGAAGTGGAAAACGAAACATTGTACTTCCTTTAAGTTTAAAAAGATCACCCAAAAAGCCAGAGAGAACATCGTGGTAATTTCTTCTGAACATTTTGGTGAGCTGGTTGTATAACCGTCCAGGTTTCCTTTCACTCGCACCAGCAACATATGCTGTATGCGGGTCAGAAACACAAATGACTTCATCGTTCGATATGAAGTAAGGGCAATCAGTAAGGTGGTAAACTGCATTGAATCCAATACCATACTGTCCAGTTTTCGCAGGGTCGTCCACTTTACTTCCAATCCCAAGTTTCTGAATACCTTCAATATCTTCTTTGGAGAATGGTTTATCGTTGTAGACACAAATCGCAGGGCCTTGAAGGTCTTTCCAGTTATCAGAGAAGACGCGTTCACTTTTGTGTGTTCGGGGATCAAACACAAAATGTATTTCGTTAGCTTTTGCGTCGTCTGCGTTTTGAAGAAGCTCTTTCAATATTCCCACGTCAGCAGGATAAGCCGTGAGGATGTTCTTTAAACGATCAGTTAGATTCTCATGCTGTCCAAAAGGTTGACCAATAGGTTCCGAGCAGCGAGTTAAATCGGCATTTCTGAGGTCCTTCGCACCACATTGGTATGCTAACAATACAGGGATCTTCTGGTGTACAGTTTTATTTTTACCGTCCGTCTCCAGCCAAGGGGTTTCGTTAATAACAAGTTCTTCTGCGTCATACAGCCGACAGTCCACACTTGGAAGGGGCAATGTAATTTCAAGCTTCGTATTAGGTACGCTAAATACTTCTTCGACAAAAACAATAAGGGTACCGATTTGATTATCTAACATTTTTTTTCGACCAGTGTGCTCTTTAAGCTTTAAAATTGCTACAATGAAATCCTCTTGGGAAAAGTTCTCCTTTACCCCGTACCAATGAATGAGACCTTTGAACTTCGAACAGTACTCACGAGGTAAAGAAAACAGATATGGCGATCCATCTTCTTTGTTCCAGTTCCTTGCCACTAGTCGCGGATCCACCATTTGATTTTTAACGAGCATCCATGGTCGGCAATCTAGTTGTTGGCGAAGATAAGATTGCTGTGACTTGAATTTCTCAGTGGATACAACCTTTTGAAAGAATTCATAAATTTTTGAACACGCATATTCCTTCTTTTCGCTATGGAGCAGAGGAGGCAGCTGGATGACTAAATCAAGTTGTGCTATGACATCAGTTAAGTCTGGTTGCTTTGAAGTAAACCCGAGGATTTTCTTGAGATAATTGTTTGGCACGCTTGAACTATTAGGTGATTCATCCAGGATGAGTTGAGAGGAACCAACAAGGTATTCATGTCGTTCGGGATAGAGATGATCGGCAGCAGCTAACTTCATTGTACGGTATTCGTCAGATTTCCAGGAAAATGGGAAGTCCTTTCGCTTGGACAAAATTGGAAGGAACTGAGCAGCTCGTAGAATTTTCGTTTCGTCATCAGTTATTAATATTTTACATTCCGGACCATTTTTATTCATAAATTGAATAAGCAGTCCTGCTTTCTTCACATCGCAGTTCTTCGAAACCCATTCAGCTCGCTCACACAAAGCACACCAAGGAAGAGAATCAATGGCCATTCCTAATTCTTCCAACATTATTGCTCGCTCTTTCTCCAGAAAGCGATTGTCCAATGGGAATCGTTTTTCTTCTTCAGAAAACAAGCAGGCAGATTTTCCTTCAGGATGGACCAGTTCCTTTGGCGTGCGTAACAATGTCCCGTCCTTAGAACAGCTGAAACTTGGATACGTCCGTAAAAGATCATCATAGTTCAGATGTTTCCTGAGTCGACGATCGAGGATGTGAACAAGAACTGAGTTACGAAGCTGATTTGGAATCTGCGAAACTCTGGGAAAAAAGAATTCTCTTAAAAATCTGTCTTCAGTGAGCATGTGATTCTTGATAAAGGCTTCTTTCCCATTAGATTTGAAGGCTTCCATGAAGTCTTGGGGCAGTGACAAGACATTTTCACCAAGCAGATCCATAATGGTGACACTATCAGCAACCTTACTAAGTTTTGGATCTAGAATAAGACAATCCTGAAGTTTTCTCCAATTTCCATTGCAATAAAACAATAGCCACTCCTCGTCGATGATTTTGTTGAAGAATGAATAAAGAAACGGTTTCCATGCTTTTGGGTAGTTTACCTTTGATGGGTTAGGCCAAAGACTGTGGAACTCGTATTGCTTATCATTGTAGGACGTAAGTTCTTGTAGCATTTGAAGATAAGCCTGCACTAAAGAATCTTGCATTAAAGCTTCATTCCACTTTGCTTCAAATGGTTTCATGAGTGATTGGTGTTCACCCACACCTTCTTCCCATAGACGCCGCCGATTTGAATAAACCGAGAAAGAGCCGTTGACATGCACGGGAAACCCAGACTCGATGGACAGTGGCATAAAGCAGAATACTTCTCCACGTACGGGGGATATTTTTACGCCTTGTATCTTTGAATGCGTTATCTTTGCAGCTATTCCAGTGACGGGGATAACGGCGTTCCTGATACCATCAACACTTTGCGCTACCTGAAGGGAAGACTTCCCACCTGTGCAGGAATTAACAAGCCACGTGTCTTCAGTTCGAACAACCTCTGATACATCAATTAGGTCAGATTTCACCATTGATACATTCATCTTTATCAATTCGGTACTGCGGGGTCCTTCTGACGCGGCTTTCACTCCCGATCTTCGATTGTTTAACCAAGTTGACGAATTTTGCAAGATCGTTCCTTCTGTAATATTCGTGTACAAGGTTTTCTGCACCGATTTTGTGATGCTGATGATAGGTCGCCCTAACGACGTTTTTGGGTTAGAGTCTTTCCGAATCTCAAAAACCCGAACCTCTTTAACATTTTGGGCGAACATCAAAAGGGTTGCGGCACTTTCTTTCAATGACTTCATGAGGTTGTTCACGTCGTCTCGCGTATAAGGTTCGTCCGAAATCTCACTTTCTTGTGCTTGTTCGTTCGTACGGAAAGGAAGCCGAAACAATGTTCCGTCGAAGTGAAAAGTGCCTGTACCAGTCATGTCGCAACCAAACAATTGGTTGTAAGGAGAGAATTGGTCAGGGAAAGCCGATAGAACATCTTTGTTTTCCACCAAGCTTAACATAAGCCCACCTTTTCTCATCTTGTCGTCCATTAAATGAGTGATGTGATTCATATTCGGATCAAAAACCACCAGGTGCTCACCACTTACAAAACTCGGGACATCAGTGAGGTGGTAGACAGAGTTGAAGCCAAGACCAAAACGACCCACCTTGTCCAAGTCGTTCTTTTTCGTTTCACCAGCAAGCTTATTGATATTCTTAAAGTCGTCCTCAGAGAACATGGCGTCATTATAAGCCCAAAGAGCAGGACCCTGGCATTTAGCTAGTTCTTCAGTAAACATTTTTTTTCGGGGATTCTCCCGCCAGTCAACGACAAAGCCCACTTTGGAAGCGCGAGCGTCATCTGCGTTTTGAATAATCTCCTTGAAAATCGCTACTCCTTTTTTGTACTGCTGTAGGATGTTACGTAACCGCGTGGTCAGTGGCTCATACTGGCCTGCTTCTTTGAATTTAATACCAACCCCTTTGGCTCTTGCTAGACGCCTTGAGAGACGCGGGACCTGCAGACGGCTAGCCAAATCATCAGGAATTGCTTTATGAATTAAATGAGACTGAATAGAGATCTCATGTTCAGAGACCCCCCGTCGTAAGAATTCCCGATCACAGTAGGTACACGTGTTGCATGGTTCGAGTTGCAGCTTATCGGACTTGGTCTGAACGGGAATGAGAAGTTTACAGCGGCGTTCTTCAGATAGCTCGCCATCGCTTCTCACAATCCACTCCAACACTGCACGACATTGATCTAAATCTTGCATCACGTCTTCAAGCGGTCGTTTTTCATTATCATGCTTTGCCTTTATATTCCGCAGCATATCCAGCAAGTCATCTACTGTAAATTGTGTCTTTACTCCGTGGGATAGCAGAAACTCTTTCACTTTGAATAGTTCGTTTGGAAGACGGAACAAATATGAATGAATGTTGATACTCTTTGGAAAGTGTGACTCTAAAGCAACTTTTTCTGGTGAGGTAAAACCACTTCCTTGCCATATCCACTGGGTTAAACCTTTGGATTGTAACAAATGCTGTACAGTATCTTTGGGTACTCTGGAAAGATACACGTAAATACCCTTAACCATTTCTTCAAATTTCGGAAAGATCAACGGTGTAGTCGTTTGGTTTGCCCAAGAGACAACGGCCAAGTGTAACTGTTCAATGACTTCTTTGTCTAATACGCGTGTCAAAGACATACCAAGCAAATCTGGTAAAAATAGAAACACTTTTGGTTCTTACTAGTTCTGTCCGAAACTCTAGTTTTAAGACAATTTTCTAGACAAGTATTAAGACAAGGTTGAGGATGCGTGTTAAAAGAACATTTTCAAGCTATCGTTTTTGCAAAACGACCAGACAGAAAACTCAAACGTTTAATTAGCATAAATTCTTTATTTTGTAGTTGAGTGGAAAAGCGTTGATTGACTTCAAACAAAATCACATTCACTTTAATTAATTAAAATGTTTCGATCAAATGGGAACTATTCTGTTTTCAGAAATACTATTCTGTTTTACGGCTGGAACGTGTACTGTTTAATAGAATATGTTTTTGTCAATCATGTTAAAAGATTACGCAACACTACTAATCTCATCTATATTTTGTAATACTGGAATGTTTTAGGATAAAACTCTAGTTTTGATGAAGCCAAAAAATAAATACGTTACTTATCATTTCGCCAAGTCCATACTGCACGGAAAAATATTTTCTCTCGGTTTCAGAAGCGTCTATGGACCTTTGATTTGAACCACTTTTCCAGTACGGACTTCTCAATTGGTAAAAACATATTATATCTATTCACAACCTTAAATTCGGGTTAGCATCTCTCTAACTTTAAAACACATTTACAATTGATTAAAATGTCATTTCCACTCCTTTATAATGAACGTGCATATTTGAACAACAGAAAAGATATTTTTCTAATCAAAGATCTCCAGTTAACACGGCTTGTACTCGTGAAGTAGAATGAACAATTTTTAACTCGTTATACGTACCTTGAACTTCACGTGAAATCAATCTATCACTAAAAACAGGTACTGACGCACCAACTAGGAGTGCTTGCAAGTCAGGGTGCATGCTGCTCGGTTTACATAGGTTCATTCCATCATACCACGGCATGAAATCTGGATAGTTTGCAGGACGATCTTGTACTCTTGGTAACCACGGCAACTCACGTAGTACACTACTCAACAAGCTAAGTGATAAGCTTCCATCTGTAGTGTATTCACTCAGTAACTGTGGTCGCAGATTCATAAGTTCCACAAGAGCCATACCTCGGTCCGAACTAAGCTCGGACGTTCGGTTTACAATAAGCAGAACATCTTGAGCGGTCAGGTTTTCTCTACGCCGAACAGTCAGCTCATTTTTACGTCTTCGTATTGGCTCTGAAAACTCGTTTGTTGGAAAAGCCTCGTTGTTGCCTTCCAACAACCGAGTTAAAAGACTGTCAGAATGATCAAACAGTTTGTTCGGTGCTATGCGTTTGCCGCTAGCAGTTGCAATACAAGGCAGTTGACGGATAAACTCTACGAATTCAGGCATTTCGTGATTTAAAATGTCCATTTTTTCCAAAATCCAGAGCATGAGCTTGTCTTTCTCGGCGTTCCTGATCCCAGAGTTTAAGAAATTTTCTAAATGAATCCTGATCAAACTAGCTGTGCTTTCGATTCTCATACCAAGTGTTTTCAACAAACGATAGCTTTCATCTTTTGAAGAGGTTAGGATATTCGTTCGGTCAACAATTCGGATTTCTGGAGGTAACAAGAGGTTTCGTGGTGCAACAAGACGCTGCTCACCCCGATCTGTTTGGCAGGAAAGAAAGTGGCTTCCGTCGACCGCTTCAAAGATTGGCAACGTACAAATGAATGATCTCTTAGAAGCCAAACTATCTCGGTCTAGCCTCGACAGAATGCAGCAAAGTTCCTGTTTGACTTTGTTTGATGCCACCGTGAGTTGTTGAACGACTTTTTCTCTTGCGACAAAAAGAACGCTTAGAATACCAGACGGATTTGGTAGAGCAATATAGTGAAATAGTTGGTCGTGCTTTATAAAGGAGGCTAGTTTTTTTATCACAACACACCCCGACCTGATCAAAAGTTCACGAACAACGTCTGAAAGTGTATCATTATTACACAGTAGGTGCTGACTGACGATGACGGTGGAATTCTGGCGAAGTCTAGCCATAGAGGAGGGTGTTTTCATGGACACAGGAATAAGCGGCATTCCTCCAAACTCGCCAAGGTTACTTGGGTAATTCTCATTGATCCACTTCCATACTAATTCTAACCAGGCCAAAGAAGGATGTTCCTCTTTATCTGGATTCCAGTTGACGGTTTCCAGCTGCGGGAGGTAGTTGCAGGACCAATCATTGGGGAGGTTTTGCCAGAGTAGTTGCTTGATATCACTAGCTGTAGGGTGATGCAACTGTGTGGCTTTGGAAGAACCAAGCTCGTACAATTTCTGTTGTACTTGTAGAGGGAGGTTACGATAGAGAAGACGATGCTTCATATTGGGCAAGAGATCGGCACTGTGCTTCTCAGACGGAATGAAAATCGTTTCAACGGATGGAAACGAGAACTTTATGAACTGGCGATTTTCTAATGGAAGTAGAGGAACGTCGTAAAGACTAGGAATACTTCCAGGGACATTCTGCAGGGCATACTCCAACACGAACAATCGATCTTGGAAATCCATTGGCAACTTATGAAAATCGAAATCAGAGCGCAAAACGTTACACAACAGCGCTGGGGTTACTTCCTGAAGGGCTTTCCAACCAGATATCTGATGATATTGATCAACAACTTGTATAACGTGTCCTGGTAATGAAACAATTGGCTGGCCTGCGCTCAGCAACGTATGTAGGACAACTTTTTTGACTTCTTCTCTCATGCCTTTGGTCCCGTCCAGGCGATCGATAATAGCTTCTCCAAGGCTGATCCAACGCGAATTACCTCCGGCAGTTGTCAAAAATATTTCCTTTGCTAAGGCTGTTTTAAAAAACGACTGCAGGATACATCTCCATTCTTCTCTGACATTGCTGTGGACTGGCACAGCACTGTACACTAACTTAGCGAGCGACTCTGGCGGGAAATTGTTGCTAGAACTTTCTCGTACCATATTTACGATCAAATTGGCGTAAACTTGACTTCCGACCTTTTCCAAGAGAAGTTGATTCCACTGGGCCGTGTCGTCATTCTGGCAGTCGGGACCAGGCCACTTTAAAGCTCTTCTGTTGTCAGTCAATCCAAAATAGCCATTCACTTGAACAGGCAATCCTGTTCGACAGTCAGGAGGGAGTGGAAGAAAACAGAAAATCCTCCCTAACGAAGACATGCTGTTATTAGCATCCACGGGAAATGCGATGCCGATCCAAGGTAACAACTTTAAATCCCAGGCCAACTCGACTAGCTTCTTTTCATTGGTGCCAACTTGATTAGCTACGAACCACTCGTTCTTTTCCGGAAGTTTTTCTGGAGATATCTCCTCGATTTCCAAACGATAAAAGGTTGTTTTCACGGCAAAGTCCCACTCGACCGTGATGTCCGCGATTAATTCTTGTCTCCTCTTCCTGACCTCAATCTTTGACTTGTCAGATACTCGGGCCGTATAGAGACAAGAAAGTGTTCCTCGTTGTTCTCGCTTGTACAATCTGATGGAGTCGACGTTTTTCAAAAAAAGGAGAATCGCACTTGCTTCATTTTTAAACGAATCAAACAGAGTATTGGCCATATCTCTCGTGTAGATTTTGTTCGATAACTTTGACTCGCGAGTTCTCAACGGAAACCGAAAGAGTGTCCCACTATAATGGTTTCCCTGGTCAAGATTGCAGCCGAACATCTGGTGAAACGGCTCAAACTGGTCGAAGTTCTCAGTCAGTAAAGGGTCTTTCGTAGAAAACGCTTGGCCTGGTTCACCACGAGCAAAATATTTCTCATGTGGGTCTAAGAACGCAACCGTGTTGCCACTCACAATACTTGGTAAGTCTATAAATATTTAGAAAAAGAGCATGGGTTTAAATCCTGGGTTAAATTATAGCGAAATCCGAGGCGAAATTATTTTATATACAGAGATCTCGACAATTGCCTCAAATATTCAGCTCATTTTGTACTCACAAGTTATATGAAATCGGTTAACCAGTTTTCACGCAATACAACAACACATCGAAAATAGAGCGAACTTCATTACCATTGACATAGGCATACGAGACAGGGGGCAACTGCCCCCAATAAACTTCAGAAAATCATGGAAATTCAGGCAAATGCTAGGAAAAATCAATAAAATTCGAACAGGTTTATCAGGAACTATGTGTTAAATTCAGGCTATTTCATTACAATCTTCCATAAAAATTCGGGCAAAATTTCAACTCCATTAGCCCCATACACCTATGATCACAACCTCGTTCCCAGGGTCTGTCCTATGATCATTGCTCCACAATTGTATATCTATTTATATCTTTGGGGCTGTTTACATGATTTCGCTTTGCTGGTACGTATCGTGATCAGCGGGTACAGCGGTCTAGCTCACAGGCCCGATTAAATTATTAGGGCTTAGAAAATACAAGTGAGAAAGAAAAACATGGAAAAAAACATAGTTTCAGTGATGGAAAACGTTTTTCTGATTTTGTTTTGCTGAGATGTTTTATTGATTTTCAGACCACTTTGGTTGACAGCAGAAATTTAGTAATTTTTTCTACGTTTTGGTAATTTTTTGCATGCTTATTTAGTAATTGCCTTGCAAAATATCTGGCCACACCGTTAGAATGTAGCCTCGTGGAGTCAACCAGGTGGAGTATGCATGTATACAGTACATGCATATCAGACAGGGTGTATTAAATTTTATGAATTTCGACTATTCGACTCACCAATTTTGCCCATCATCATTACATTACAACAAACTTTCTTTCAAAACATTGCATTAGGGGCCGACCATTGAACTTTTGAGGAGGGGGGGGGGGGATTTTGAAAAAAAATTTCCCGCAAGGCTATTCTGAACAAAAAAAATACCTGCACTAACAAACTGGGGGAAAAAATATCCTGCCCCAGTATTTGGTGGGAGAAAAAATGTTGCAAAACAGCAAGGTTGCAGGGATTGATTTGACCAGTCCCAGAAGATCAGCCGGTTTGATTTTCAGGGACTAGTGTAAGGTTAATTTCTTGTTGGAAAACTCCTCAAAATGGGGGGGGGGCATGCCTCCAGACCTCTCTAGAGGCTCGCACCTTCGGTTGTCGACTTGGTTGTCTCAGACTCCTAGTTATGGCCTGATTTGCTGCCCTATGACGTATACTTATTAGTTAAACCATGCATATATATGCTGGTAGCTGCAGTGATACAGGCCGATACAGACTTGCCGACTGGAACTTCTCCAGGTCCCCCGCTAAATATGTCCCCTCCAGTTACACATCCTTAAAAGAGGCCCTGAACCAAATGTTATACCTCATAGCAATATGTATTATTAAAATCAATGCATCAAGCTAGTAAACTCAACGTTAACTGTAATTAAAGAATCTAAATAGTATAAGCTATTGAAAAAAAATGCTGCAAAAGAGAGAGTGGCAAAAAAATCGTACATGGTGATGGGATAGGAAAAAAAATCTTGCATATAACGATCCCAGAAAAAAATTCCCTGCCAGCAGTAAATCCCCCCCCCTCCCCTCAAAAGTTAAATGGTCGGCCCCTTAAAAAGATACTTGACACAGAAATGAATGGCTATCACTGTTTCAATTTTACAGCCATGATCCCACGGTTTTAATGCGAAGGATGTAACCCAGCAAAGCAATACACATACCTGTGATGTGATAAACAGAATTAAATCCAATTCCAAAGCGGCCAACTTTCAATGGGTTATTTTCCTTATTACTTCTCATAAGACGTTGTAGTCCTTCCCAGTCCTCCTCCGTGAACTCTGCGTTGTTGTAAAAGTACAGAGCTGGGCCTTGAAATAAGGCCAACTTGGAAGAAACCAATGAAGCGGTTCCATAAGATGTAGCATCAAATAAGACCTTAACTTCATTTGCCCCGGCGTCATCTGCATTTTGAATTAATTCCTAGTGAAATTGAGAAAATAAAAATTAGCAAAAGCTCAACATTTAAATTTTCACCTTTAAGACAACTCACATTGCACAACTCACATTGCACAGTTACTATAATAATTGTTCTGGCTCCAATGACTAAGCACTTTATAAAATGATCTATTCAGTTCACTGATTACATATACTCATGTGGATAATATATGTAACATAACTCGTTGAAGGTTTGAATCATGCAGGTTTATTTTCATTTGATTATTTAGTTCTCTTCCAGATTCATGAGAAAAACACAAAAGATCTACTAACTGTGTCTGAGCTTCCTAAAAGTCAAAGAGTTAGTTTAAATACTTTTTAAAAAAACTCAAAAATTCATGTCGGTTTATCTTATTCTCTCATTCTCTCATAAACAATTAATAAATAAATTAGAAACATAAAGTAATCACAGACCACGAAGGAACTTGTGTTCAGTGATACAAAATCCTGCTCATTTACAATTATAATTTTCTAACCAAATATTATGCATGTCTGAAGAATATAAACAGCATAAATTACATTTGTGATGCAGTTACGATATATGTACTCTATTACAACCAATTGCTTTTATCTCAATCTGAAAGAGTGTTCATGCTATTGAAAAATAGAAATTATAAGAGTTAAACCAAATATTTTGTACTATTAAAGCCAATTATAAAACTTACTTTTAATATTTGACCACCATCAGGATATCTCAGCAAAATATTCTTCAGAAGATCTGTTAATGGCGGCCGTTCTTGACCAAATGATCTTCCTACAAAGACATCAAATCATAGTGCTTCAGATAGTGTGTGAATCATCAGACAAGGAAAAGCTATAGTTAAAGACCCTGTCACTGTCATCCTGGGTAAATTCCAACATGCAACTCAATCTCATACACAGGGTTTTATTGCAGCCCCAGTTTCTACAGAGCAAATCCTGGGCACATTAGGTTGCAGACAACATTGCCGTGAAAGGTGACATAAAAAATGAAATAGCGACATTGGATACAAACTCTGTCTAGATTGTGACAGCAACATGGAAAAGGAGGCATGCAAACAATAATGCAATTCCAAAAGTGACATAGCAATGTTTTCATTAAGCGGCCACAATAAAAACCTGATGAGCAACATGCATACCAACCCTCTAATTAAATAATTATGCAGTCAGATATAGTCATGCAATTGGGGCAGGGGAGGCCCCCCCCCTCCCCCAATGATCTCCATTTAGACCTATTCTGGCAAAACATTGAAATTCAGTCAAAACCATGTGTGTGTGTGTGTGTGTGTGACAGTGTGTGACAGTGTGTGTGTGTGTGTGTGTGTGTGTGTGTGCGTGTGGGAGGGGGGTTCAATGGCAACCTCGTTCCCAGGCTCGTCCCTCTTGTTGAGGAAAAAAGAAAAAAAAAGAAAAGAAAAAGAAAAAAAAAGAAAATAGGGAAGAGCCTGGGAACGAGGTTGGTGCAATGGCTGGAATAATGATAACAACTAGAAGTTTCTATCGCAAGAGTGCTGCCTCACCCCCAAGGAATCAAAGGCAGCATGTGCATGCAATTTGCTGAATAAGGGCACAGAATAGAGACTAACAGACGCCCGACTTCTTGGTTCCCCTATGATTTGGGCGTAACCGTAAAACGTTATGAGAGGCATTCACTCCCTGATAATATTCAAAATGGCAGACGTCCAGGGGGGGATGCCTCACATAAGCGCACTGGCTAGGACCATGGCGTCAGCATTTTTAAATGACGAATCATGGTGTGGCAGCGGTTAAACATTTTTGGCTAAGTCAACCTTCTGTGTGTCTTTATTCCGTGATAAGGGGCTGTTTATATCATCCCACTTTGGCAGTACAAGATCAGATGTGAGGCGGGATCATTTTGATGTATTGAAATAACTCAAGGTGCACGATTGAGCAAAAAACCACATTATTTTCTAGAGATAGACTGTTTAGCCTAGTGACTTATTTCAACACATCAAAATCATCCACCAATGTAAATCTTCCATCATGTAAACAGCCCCTAAGACATCTGTTCAGGAGGTAGGAAATTGCAAGGTGCTTGATATTAAAATTGCACTTTACATATGGCATGACCTGTTGCTATGGCTAGCTTTGCCATAGCCTGTGTGAGACTGCCACGCAGGCTAGCTTTAAATTGCCACTGACAGTATTATAATTGTACATACAGAAATTATCAAGAAATTATAAGCATTGAAGGTATTCTTATAAAACCGCCCATATGCCAAGAAAGTAGAATTAGAATATTTAGCTGACCTTTGACTTTGTTGCAAGTTTTTACATGATTTGCATTATGACCAGTTGCCATGGCTACCTTGTCACTGAATACTGCAAAATATCATATATAGAAATACTAAGTAATTTTTTGTCCCAGTTATCATTTTAATGGCACCCAGACTGTAAAGTATTATTTTTGCGAGGGGAACTTTTCCGTCGTAAATGGCAGTTGCGCGGAAATGAAGGCAGAACACTTGAGAAAATTTCGAAAATTTGGAGTCTCTAGATCGTCTGGAATGGCATTTTCAGAGTTTTCTCTGTCTTTTTTCGCAAGGCCCAACACATAAGAAACAAAATAAATCATTAGTTCATCAAAAATATGCAGATTTTGTAGGATTGAAAATGCGTGGACAGAAATTCAGCTAAAATTTCTGCGCGGGAAACGCGTTCCCCGCGCGCACAGGCCAAACTTTACAGTCTGGAATGGCACCTTCAAGGCACCCCTATTGCAGAACAACTGAATAATCTGTTATTTGTTGACATTTTTGTTTAATTCCGCTTCAGATGACACCATTCAATGTAATGAATATTAAGATTGTACTCAGTAAGAACTGCAAAACTATATAATAATAAGAAAGAAATTGTGAGCATTATCAAAAAATATTGTATACCCTGAAATATAGTGACAATATAGCCCGGGTAGGATTATTTCATATTATGCTAACAATGGACATATCTCAGAGATATAAACAGACCTTGTACAAAAGTCGTAATACAATCCACACTGGGTTGCTATAGGAATCTTATTAAGCCCGAGTGCACTGGGTGACTGCATACACAACATTCCGCGTTTGTTTTTAAACGGTGCTGAAAGCATATTGCTATAAACATCTAGAATGAACACTATAAACTCATCGCCTTATAGTCACATCGCCACACAAATAAGTATACTTTGACTTCTTGTATATTGTAAAAAGTGTCGATCAGTGAGCTAGCTTTTTAATAAACTGCTGATAGATTCATGTAATCATATTGTTTCAATACTTCTATATCGAACACTAAAAAAGCAGATCTAAATACAAATGCCTTCATGTATACCACCAGAAAGAAATAAAGCCATCCTTATCTGAATTATTCAAAATATATTTGTCGATCATTTGCATCTGAATGATGATTCTGATTATGAAAATCCAACATACTGAAATCTTAAAGTTTCAAATTGTTCACCTCCCCCTCAAAATTTACAAACATCTTTTGAGCATAATATATTCCCCCGAATAATCGAATATTTTGGACAGATGATCCTCTCGAAATCAAATCAAGATTTTGACAGTACATAACTCGGACGAAAGACTGGGGCAAGTGAATGCAGAGTGTCAAGAATAGGAGGCTGCCTTCGGCAGCAAATATGTTATATACCAGTCTATTTAATCTGCTGCCTAGCTGATCTATAAAATATTGATGTATTGTAGGAGTGTAATGAGCAAGAGCCACACAACCTATAGGGATTTAAAGATGGTCAAAAACGTAATATAAGTAGTCACAATAACCAAATTGTAAAAATGTTACCTGCAGGCTCTTGGTCTGGTGTTTTCTCCCGGTTTGGCTCTGCTGGTGTTGGATTTTCTTTCATGCATCTACAATATATAAAAGAGAATGCATAATTTTTTGGCATCTTAAACCAGCTAGTCTAGGTCACCAGTGGCGGTGGAACAGGGGGCTAGGGGGCTTTAGCCCCCCTCTCCCTCAGAAGTAAAAGTGGGGGGCTTAGCCCCCCCCCAAAAAAAAAAAAAAAAAAAAAAACATGAAGAATGCCAGAATGCGAGACCATTTACACAAACTACAAAGCCTTCACTGTTACAGCTCGCCAGCTGAAATTCAAAAAAGAAATCCTATTTTGTGATCAAGTGAATGTAAATTGATTTTCTTTCACCCTGAGTACATATCTTTGATCTATACAGTAAATACTACAAAGTCAGAGTATTGGCCTTTGTGGTTATTTAGGAAATGGGACAAATAAAAGTTAAGTGAAGAAGTTTCAGACTTCCTAATGGGTGATTGCAGCTATAGACTAAATTTTGATCAAGGCAAGAAGAACGAAATCCAACACCACAGCTAGAAAGAGCGTCTTAGAATGAGTAAAACTGCAAAGATTGGTTGCTGAATGTTGTAAAATGAAGAAAATATAGCCCTGTGAAGTTCGCAAATGTTGTATATATTTGTATTACGCGCGGTAAAATAACCACTTTCGGCTCAAAAATGGTTATTTTTCCCGTGCGTAATGCAAATACAGTATATACAAAATTTGCGAACTTCACAGGGCTATATTTCCTTATTTTACAACAATTATAAAAACCCTTTTGTTGAAAACTGCTCATCAAATATAACAGATGACCCCAAAACCATAACTGACAATTTCAATGACTATTTCATTAATATTGGTCCTAATTTGGCAAATAAGATCAAACGTAATAACAATAACTGTTTTGAGAAATATCTCAAAGGTAATTATCAGTCCAGTTTCTTTCTTAATCCTATCACAGAAAATGAACTTGAAATAGAACTGAAAAGTATGAAGTCAAAAAAAGTTGTGGATACGATGGTATTCATACAAACATTGCCAAATTGTCAGTTAAAGAAATCTCTAAGCCATTAACACATGTTTTTAACCTAACACTTTCGACTGGAATTATTCCAGATAATTTAAAAGTTGCAATGATTACACCAATTTTTAAGGGTAATGATGCAATGAAGTTTCAAAATTACCGACCAATATCGGTTCTTGTTTGCTTTTCTAAATTACTGGAAAGACTTATGATCAACAGACTATCAAAATTCATTGATAAAAACAACATATTATTAAAACATCAGTATGGATTCAGAAAAAATAGATTGGAACATGCAATAATTGGCTTTGTAGACAAAATTACCAAAGCATTTGACGAAGGGAAATACTTTGTTGGTATTTTCCTTGATTTGTCAAAGGCATTTGATACAATTAATCACAGGATTCTGACAAAAAAACTAGAGCATTATGGCATAAGAGGAGTGGCCAAAAAATGGTTTGAAAATTATCTGGGCAATAGAAAACAAATTGTTAAATATAATGATGTACAATCGGAGGTAATGACTATTAAAAGCGGTGTACCACAGGGATCAGTATTTGGTCCATTATTGTTTCTGCTATATATAAATAATATTCAATTTTGCAGCGAATTTATTTCAATTGTATTATTGCGGATGACACAAACATTCTTTTTAGTCATACATGTCTTAAACAGTTGAACGAAATTATTCAAATTGAAATGAATAAAATTACTGACTGGTTGAATGCTAATAAACTATCTATTAACACAGAGAAAACGAAATTTATTCTTTTTAGATCAAAAAATAAGAAACTTAAAGATGATATAAAAATTTCAATCAACAATGAATCGATAAAAAAGATTGTCAGATTAATTACTTTTAAATCTTATTTTGAATATTCTGAGCCAATCTTTCATCACCTAAAAATTCTCAGTTTATACAAAATAAATTATTATTTAACAAGTATGTTTATGTCCCGATATTTCCATCTGAAAAATTTACCAAGGAAATTCATAATCATAACACAAGAAATTCGTCATTGCTACACAAAAAGAGCAATAGAACCTGCAATTACACAACACACACTCTCTCTGATAAAGGTATAAAAGTGTGGAATAATCTTCCCACTCAATATAAAGAACCTGCTAAGTCTCACGACTCCTTCAAGACAATAATGAAAATTACTTATCAGATCTAAATTTAATAGAATACCATATTCCTGTAAGTATAGGAAAACTATAAATCAATAATTGAATTGTAAATATAGCTCACTATCATATCATATATAATATTTAACTATTCTTTTTCCTTTCTCCTAAAAGCACTCGAACTGATGCGGCATATTATTTTGCTAATTAGTTTAAATTTATAACCTGGGGCCTAAAACAAAAGCCATATGATTTCTAGTAGGCTCATAGCCCATCTCTTGTAAATAGTTTATTTCTTTTATGTTTATAAATTTCAATATCTTGGGCGAATCAGCAAATAAAAAAAAAACAAAAAAAAACAATTCGCAACCAAATTTTGCAATTTTACTCATTTTAAAGCAGTGAGCTCCATATATATCTGGAGTAGGAACTTGGTTGCTCAAAGTGAAGCCAGTTTCGTGTTAACCGCGCATACAAAAACAATAGAAAGGGACTGGAACTGACGTCCAACAGCTCCTTCAATTTCCGCCATCTTGGCAAGGAGTGTGTTGAAATTTCGTATTTTGACTTCGATTTAAAGAATAATATTGTGATTTTATGAACTGAAAACTTGATTAGTGATATGGTCCATTAGAAAAAACTGGAATTAGCTTGGGAAAATGGTATAAAAACTGTTTACGACCTTCAGAGCTATTGGACGTCAATGGCCGCCATCTTGGATTTTTTTTGGCTTCACTTGGCCTATTGCCAAAACATTAGAAGTTCCTACTCCAGATATATATATAGAGCTCACTGTTTTAAAGATGCTGATCTTTCCAGCTATGGTAATGCTTCGTTCTTCTTGTCTTGATCAAAATTTTGTCTATAGTTGGAATCATCCATAATGATGGAAGGTCCGGAGGCATGCACCCCCTGGAAAATTTTGAAATCTAAGGTCCCTGAATGGACCTTTCCCCTTATAACTAAAATTTCGATCTAGACAAAAATTTCATCACAGTTTGAAAGAGCATCACAAAATTAGTAATATTCCAAAGTTTTGTTGCAAAATCTTGTAAAATGCGGATAATATAGCCTTGCGAAGTTTGCCGTTTTTCAGTCATTTTGTATTACAAACGGGTAATTGACATCCGATTCGGGTGTTGGAGCTGCAATTTCCCGTTTGTAATCTAAAATGACTGAAAATTGCAAACTTCGCAAGGCTCTATTTTCCCCATTTTACAACATTTCGCAACGAAACTTTGGAATATTACTAATTTTGTGATGCTCTTTCAAGCTGTGATGAAATATTTGTCTACACTTGCCTAAATCAAAATTTTGGTTATAAGGGGAAAGGTCTATTGCGATTTCAAGCATTTTGGGAGTGAAATCTAGCAGAATTCCGAAAATTATAAAGTACATCGAAGACATGAATTTTTCCAGACATTTCTACTCGGAATTAAATAAATTGGAAAAGTCACCTTGAAAAATAGGAGGAGGGGTCAGTGTCAAAATAGGAGGAGGGGTCAGTGGGAGAGAAAATCCCAATGTGATTTTGATCAGAAATGTGGCATTTAAATCATTTTAGGTTCTATGAGACACCATTTTCATTTTGCTTTTTCATACGATACAGAATAAATCTGAGAAGAAATATTCATGCTATGATGATACATACATGTATTTAACAGTTAAAAATCTAAATCTATTATTCTTGGAACCAGCATTTTATCGGATTGTTTGCATGAAATCTATCGCTATTATGAAATACTCGGTGAAGAACGATATGAATTACACACAGGATGGCTGTGGAGGAGGCTATTCTAACAGCAATCATGAGCAATTCTGCTTCGCACTTCGGGGGCAGAAATGGGGGGGGGAGGCAAATTCTTTCCCTCGGGGGAAATTTCCCCCCCCCCCAGATATATAGTTAAAAAAGGCACTGCGTCACGCTGCATTTGTAAGATTATTTGTTAAACAAAAGATGATTTTCAAAAAAAATCAATTGAGAGTCATAGTGTCATGTCCCAGTATACTTTTTATGAAAGTTAGAAAAATATAAAATTATTAAGTTGCCAGGAAAATAGATAATTTTTTCTTTTCTGGCTGTCACGTGAGTCACGAGCCTGGCTGTGAGTATAATTATCAGAAATTAAACAAATCATCTTGAATATCTCCCTACGGGGTTTCTTGCCTGAAGTGAGTTTGGGTTCTGCTAAATTAGATGTGGCAGAAACATGCATTTAAATCCTAAAATTTTGTGACTTGGTCATGTGAGTCACGGTGAAATGGCTGTTAGTCAAAAACTACGGTACACTTTTTTAAAATTTAGAGCCCCTCCAAAATAAAATATGTTCCGCCTCCCCTGTAGGTCACTCTGCTCAACAAGTTATTATGACTATTCACATATGACATCAATATGCTTACAAATTATTGTATACAGACATCTAAGGTATATACAGTAGGTATATAAATTAAAGATGATGTTCTTTCGTGTGCGAATGTGCAAACATTGAATATCTAACACTTTTCTGGTTTTCTATATGCTTGTAAATGAATATAAACTCTACGTTTCAATTCAAAAAAGTTTGAAAGATAAAAATTTAGGCAATGTTAGTTATGGGTCTAGCTATTTTGCGGGCTGCGGGCAGAAAAATGCGGGCGGGTTAAAACAATTGCGGGCCGCGGGCCAAATTGCTGGCCTAACTAATTTTTGTGGTTAGCCTGCGCATGCGCAGCTAACCACTGGTTTATGGAATTTTGTAGTTAATTTAAAGGCATACGAAAGAGTCGTTGGTTTATGAAATTTTGTAGTTAAAGGCTCTGGCATACTCTTTCGCTTGCGCATAATTAAAGCAGATCGATATGGACATATCATATCATCGGACGGTTTACTTTGGAGGTTCATATATCTTTGGTTCAGTGCATGCTATGTGGATGAAAATACCACCGTTCAATTCAGTGAAACAATTCCTATGGATGGTTTTAGTAAAATGTCAACATGAACATTATAGCGATTTACGATCTTTAGAAGTTAACCATATTTCACACAATTTTCCCGAACAATGTAAACAATGTCAATGTATTAATACCAACTAAGGTCTAAGGCATAAGTGCATAACCTTTCGCCGAACAGTTTGATCATCTGATTATCATTTTCCCGTTTGTAATGCATAATGACTGAAAAACGGCAAACTTCGCAAGGCTATAGTATCCGCATTTTACAACATTTTGCAACGAAACTTCGGAATATTACTAATTTTGCTATGCTCTTTCAAGCTGTGATGAAATTTTTGTACAGACTTGTCTAGATCAAAATTTCACTTAAAAGGGGAAAGGTCTATTTACAACAGGCAACGAGGCACATGTTTACAAATTGATTACAATTACGTTCATGGTGGTGTTCGTGAGTCTCAACCAGGGTTTCGGAAAGTCAAATCGCTATCTGGAGTATGTTATTTTTTTAAATTTCTGTTACGTCAAAAAACGTCATAAATCTGAAAATCCGTACATCCGTCAACAAAATCGAGTTCTCGTTCGGCTATACATAACTCGGCCAAAGAGACTGGACACACGTAAACGCAATACTTCAGGTTAAGAATAGTGTGCTGCCTTCGGCAGCAAAAATTCGTCAGGCCCGCAACTAGACCCGCGGCTCGCAATCGTGTTAGCCCGCAGCCCGCATTTTTCTGCCCGCAGCCCGCATTTTTCTGCCCGCAGCCCGCATTTTTCTGCCCGCAGAATAGTTAAACTCTAGTTATATATGGGCACAAGACGGTTCCCTTATTGTTTTACGTCCACGAAAATTTTAACTCGCTCGATCACGCCATCTTGGCTAGTACAACCGGAAGTTTTTATCAGGTTTTGCTAGGTACAAATGCAAAGTGCCGGTTTTACTAGCCAGGATGGCGTGATTGTCTGATTGATAACGAATCGCTTGTAAAAACGCGGACAAATACTTGCTTGAGTTACGTACGCTTCTGCTATACCTTCTCAGTTCTGTGATATGGGGGTCTCCATTTAATTGTTATGGGCAGAACTGATGTGCAGAACGGAGTGGAAATCATCTTTACTGTAATATTTTCAAGAATATTACAGTATACCTGATATTGTTATTTAGTTGAGGGCCATAAAGATTAAAAAGTGTATATAAACCCTGATTTAGACAAAAGTCAAAATCAAGCATACTAGCTAGCAAACAGTAACTATAATTTCAAAAAAGATCAGAGATTTAAAAGAAAACAAACATATAATATCATGCAGAAATTATAACTGCATGTAAATTTAAAGGTAGGGTACCGGTAGTAGTCCGTATGTATAAACAAAGCCTTTGTTTATATTTCGGTATTCAAAATATTGAACTTTATTCGACAAGTATTTGTGTTTTCATGCATGCTTCTTACAGTATAATAAATTATCAAGGTACAATTTGGTAATTAAAGTGTTTATGTCACGGCAGAAGACTCCTATAGGCACATGTGCAGATCGGACTGTCAGGGACGTACGTCGCTACAGGGGGTGTGTGCATAGGGAGATGTAAGTTGTAACACACCCTCAATAATTCAAAACGTTGGTCAAAGTTGGTCAAAATGGAACTAATATTGCTTAAAATTGAAGGTCAAATTTGGTAAAATTTGGATTTCCACAGACAACGCTTTTACGCCTTTATGTAAAATATAAACTATAATCTTATTAATTTCGCGTGATGAGTAGCATTATTCGCGCGTGGGCATGATAACGCATTAAAAGCATAGCTGCAGACCTTCCAACTCTCACGCATTTTGCGTGAGACACACGCATTTGACATATTTCTCACGCTCACACGCATGAACACTATTTTCTCACGCAAAAGCGAAAAAATAGGAAGCGATCCAACTTTTGTTTTAACGCTTCTCTTCGCAAGCAAATGTTCCTATTTAGCTGAATCAATAGCTATAAAATAAAGTATTTTTGGAGCAGTTGCTCAATGCTGTGTAACGTATAGTATTGCGTAAGTTGCACTATTGCGCAAATTAGTAAATTGACACTTAGTTAATGGGGATTTCCCCAGACAACGCTTTATGTAAAATATAAACTATAATCTTATTAATTTCGCGTGATGAATTAGCATTATTCGCGCGTGGGCATGATAACGCATTAAAAGCAGCTAAATCTGCTACTTATGAATACAACAAAGCACATAAGCACAAGCTATAACTCGTTAACATTTAAATTTAGAATGACTTTTACTTTTTTAACAATAATAACGAAATAAAAAAATAAATGAAACTTATAATTGCATGCAGATGTGCAAAAAGTGTTACTTTTGAGATTTTTGTACCTTTAGAATTCTGTTAATCTTCTCCCAAAATGCAGGAAATGGCATTTCAGAGACTCCAGATTTAAAAATTTTCCGGTGGAGCTTAAGCATGCCCCCAAACCCCCCAGGTCAACGCCTGCCAACGGCAGGTGCCAGCCCGCCATCGGCGGGCTATATGACTCAGATTACAGGAAATAACTAAATCTCAATCATTTTCATGCCACAAAGTTGGAAGGTCTGTTTGCGCTTGAAACAATTGCAAGCCTTGCTTATTTTGGTTGAAAAATATTTGAAGCTTTGCTTATATGTTAGTTGGAAAAATTTTTTGACCCCCCCACGTCGACAACAAAACATGAACACCACCCCCCCCCCCAATGTTAATGTCTTCACAACGTCCGTGCAGACTGTACCCTATCTTTAAATTAAATAAATTTTTCACATACCTTTCATTTATAGCTTCCTTAGTTTTGCATACTTCTTCCATGTTTAAAATCTCCACCTTTACTCCTTCTATTTTAATTCCAATCTGCAAGAATTCTTTCTGTAAACGTTTTTTCAATCGGCCAGATTCATAAATATCTTCTAAAACTTCCAGAAATCTTTCATCTGTGAAACAATGCAGTAGGACGTTTAGAGATCCTGGTTTGATATCCCGAAATTCTTGGTCGTCTCTTTCACCTCCAAAGACACGTTTAACCGCGCCCTCAATTAAGGGTTTCATTAAATGATAACCAGCATAAAGAGCACCAAGTGTAACTACAGTCGTGCATACAGTTCCGACTACATCTTTGACCACTTGCACATCGGTAGTGCTGACATTGATTGAAAGGTCACCACCTTTGCTATATTTTAAACTGGCAGACAGAGCCTCCTTCGCAACACCCCGCACTGCTTGTCCAAATTCTGGACATTCTGCCATTACCAAAATATATCCTGGAATTGAGACAGATAATGGATCGAATAAATGTAAAGAAAATTATCAATAGCAAGCAGGTCTAAAATGCACATGTCACAGGCACACACAGGTCCCAGATTGCAAGTGACAGCTAGATCACAGGTGACAGCTTATAAGGTTGCCAATCACAGGTTACAAATCACATGGTGCAAATTCCTGCACCTGGCAACCTGTGATTGGCAATCTGCGACCCGAGTTTTACGCCTGCTGGATAATTATATATAATATCAGGATTTTGGGCATGCTCACTCAATAGAACTATGGGGCCTGTTAAGTTGCATTTTTGCAGCTCGCTCTGGTTAGGGAGTGGTCATTATTTATGGGGAGGGTGGGAGGGGGGGGGGGCAAACAAAGTTTTACCCTTATAAATAGGGGGGGACAAAAAAGTTTTAACACAGAGAAAGGGGGGGTCATAAAAGTTTTTGAACTTAAAGACTCTGAAAATGCTATTTCCAACGATCTAGAGACTCAAAATTTTCAAAATTTCCCTGCTCGGTGCCAACCATGGTAGCTCCTCGCGATCGTGGGAGTCGGGCTCACTAAGTTTAACAAACTTTCTACCCCTGAGTGACCAAGTTGTGGTATTTACATAAACATACCATGCAAGTACACTTAAGTTAACTGATCAGATTCGGTCTATCAACGCACAATGTAACGCTGCATATCCAAAAATCTGTTTCAGAAAATGCTCACATTTCAGTTCTAGGGGTGGAAAAATACAAAATATTTTCTGGGGGAAATACCACACCAAACATGTGAATACGATACCACACCAAACGTTTTGTCACCAACAACCATCTGTCATCTCTCCACACTCAATATATTATGGTCCCTTTTTGTAGATGCCCACCCTCCAGACAAGTTCTTAAAAAAACCCTGTTCAAATCATTTCGCTGTATGAAGACAGGTCATGGGTTAGGGTTATGGTAGGACAAATGTTGCATTGCAAAGTAGTAACACATAATATATATTTTTTAATCATATATGGTTGAATCATATTCACCAGGGTAAAACATCATGAGCTAGAACAGATTGTCCTAATATCTAACTTTACCTGCAACGCACACCTGCTTCATTGCTGTTAATTTTTCAATCCACACTGGGGGGGGGGGGTCAGAAAAGTTTCTACTTTTATGAGGGGGATCGGGCACAAAAAGTTTGCCTTCAGTCTGGAGGGGGGTCAAAAAAGTTTTCAATCCTTATTTTCCCCATTTCCCAACCCTCCCCCTCCCCATAAATAATGACCATTCCCTTATATAGGTCTAAAAATGTATAAAATTTACACTTGAAATTTCATCTACAAAACCCTTCTACTAATGTAAGGAAACTATACTAAAATGTATCATGGACATCCAAAACTTCTTATAAGAATATCATCCCAAGAAAACAATAATTGACTAAAGAATCTTTTTTAAAACAATAATGAAAATATTTCAAATCAATCCTCTATCAACCTGCCCCCCCCCCCTCCCCTCCCCCTTGTGGTGACAAGTTTGGGAGGGTTTTACCAGTGAGCTCTATATATATCTAGAGCAAGAACTTCAGTCATTATATAGACAAATTTGGATAACGTTTGTTTATACCCAATTCACAACTTTAAATTAACTCACATGCCTATAATTATATTGTTGTTCTAGTATACAGAACTGATAGAATAGGACAAGGGTAACTAAGCTTTAGAATTATCTACATGAGTGAATATAACTCTCATACACATATAAACTAATGGAGTAATGCTAGAACAATAGTAACTAGTAACTAGAAAAATAGTCACTACGTAAGTTATGTATGTTATGTATAGTCAGCATGTAAGTTATCTAAAGTTGCAAATTGGGTAGCACAATGTTATACCACAGAGTAAACCATAGGAGCCCAAACAAGCAGGTTGTATTAAATAAAAGCGGCCCGTAATTAAAACGCTAAAGTATGCAATATTAGCAATAAAATTGCTGTTAGAATCATGCACGTAGGTTGCCAATGTGTTGTTGCAACAGGATGACATTGCAATAGTCAGTGGCGGCGCCACGGGGAGGACTGGGGAGGACACGTCCCCCCCAGTTCTCTTCAAGGTCAATTTTCTAATTTGTCCAAATCCAGTGAGAAAAGTGGGGGGGGGGTACGTTTTTGACATCAGTCTAGTTATTTAGATCTAACTTAATAAATCCAGTCTTTATTGTGTGAATAAAAACCGGTATTAAAAGATCATCGCTTTACTTTTGACAAAAGACCGTTTCATATATGCGGTATTAATTTACCATTAGCATATTGCAGGAACTGATTACGACCGCCGAAGGAAACCCTGCACCATAATGGGTTAATATATTATCAAAATTAAGTGCAA